TTTAGATTGGACTTGGAGAGTAAAAACTCCCTTTCTAACGTTGGATTTGGATTTCTCGTTGCTTTCTCGACATTGGATTTACATTAATCGTAAGTATTTCTTCTCATTTGTGTGTGATGATGATTTCTTGGGTTGATGTGAATGTTTATGTGAGAATCGAGATGAGTAGCTAAATTCATATGCTAGGGAATAGGGGATTGAAGTTTTTAATCGTTTGTGATTATGGGTGTTCCTTGATTGTTCTTCTTATGCGAGTTAAACTTTAATTAGGATTTTTCAATCATTGTCTTGGATTTTGAGAATTGTTGAAGGGTGACACTTCAACTTGCGATTGTTTCAATTGGGTTTGATAAATTCATACTTGGCATTGTTAATTCTAAACGGACTAGTTGATTAACCCCTTTCTAGTCTAAGTTAATCGACTCTTAGAACCGAAAGGGGAGGAGTCGATCAAAATAGGCTCGCATAAGCTAGGCTTGTTCGTAACTGTATTGCCTAGAAGTTAAATGACTTGTTAATTTGCCGTTCTAGTTGTTCTCTTGTTACGAAATGTTATTGAGGATGAGTACTTGAACGTGTAAGTTATTCAAATCACTTAACTGGACAATCACTAGCCCATCAATTGCAATTCGAACCAAAACTGATATCCCCGACTCCCTAGCTCCCTAAATCCTACGTGTTCTTCATCCTCGCTTGCTATTTATTTTATTGCTTACTTAATTTTTGTAGTAATTGATAGTCGAAACCAATCCAATCATTTGAATTAGAATGTTTAGGAGTTTAATTTCTCTTGTGTGATTGAATAAACGTGCAATTTATTCCGGCTAACCTTCCTCGTGAGACACGACCCGGTGTCGAATCATTCGATTTAACCCCGGTAAAAATATTTACAACACTTATGGATTTTTAACTTACACTTTGGGGTTGTCCAACTAAGGTAAGACTTTCATGTCTATAAGTAAATTTGGACTAAAGATTGTGGGTCATTACTTGTTCAAAATTCTATAAGGTTTTTTGTTAATAATGAATTTAAAGTTCATTTGAGGAAGTTGAGCTTGAGTGGGAGATAAAGTTGCATTATTTAGAATGCATAAGGTTGCATTATTTAGAATGCAAATATAGTCCCAAAATGCAACTCAACCACCTCAAATAAATATACATGAAGCTTTGATGAAATTATGTATGAATTGACATTTGAGGTCTTGTCAAATTGTCTAAAAGTATGAGTCTCATTGGTCATAAATTTTGCTTAATAGATTCATAAGACAATAATGAGAGACATAAGGTATGTCTAGTCAACATAAGTTTCATCTAAATATGGACTTTGGTTACAAGAGTCTTTTCTTTTGGTTTTGATGAGAACTCTTTGTAATCTATGTCATTTTGAAGTATTTAATATTAAGTTAACTCTTTCTATGGTATTATAATTTTCTTAAGTCATTATCTTATTTTTTATCGAGATAAATAAAGTTAATAATTGTATATACTATAGGTTGAGTGGTAGATACTCTTAAGAAAACATAAGTTATCTATCTCATTCATTGTCCCAAGAATGAGTCTAAAGTTTATAGACAAAAGATCTACATATGGTTGGTAATCTTTTGGATTTTCAAGAATGTATGTATTTGGATTTCGCATACATGTAATTATTTGACAAATGATTGAATATTGATTATTAACCTTTTGAATGCAGCCAAGGGGTTAATAAAATTTTGATTGAGAATAAAAGAGAGTTTATACTCACTTAAGGATTATTGGATCATTTGGGAGATCATTTGGAACTCTAATTTTGAGTTAATTGAATGTCTGTAAAGTTGAACGATCCAAATTTAAGTCAAGCTACATTAACTGCTAGTTGGAAGAACTAATTCGGAAAGTGCCAAGCAGACACTTAAGTTTATTTCTCTTTAGCAATTTAGATTTAGCTTTTCTGAAGGCATCTTATAAGGCTAAAGGTTATGGTTGCATAATATTATCACTATGTTGCATGTTGCGGATGGTATTGAATACCACTAAAGTTTATTATGATAATATTAGTTTGCCATTTTTTAGCAACAAAAAAATTGTTCATAAAGTTTCTTGTTGCTAAGGATGAAATTCATGTTGATGGTTTTTTTTATTGAACACATAAGGATGAATTTATGCTAGCAAATTCATAGCTCCATTATAAGGTATGCTAAGGTATTAACACTTGAAATATTTTATGAGTATACCGCTCAT